ATCTGAAGATTTCATAGAATTTGGTGAAATCCCGACGTTAAGTCGATTGTCGTATAGTATTACGCATTTCCCAGGCTACTAAGTGTTGCGTTGATGTCTGGTATTAGATATGTGTCAGGTATTGTCACGGTATTTAGTCTTTTGCAGTCAATCACCATCCGATATTGTTTTTCGCCATTTGGTTTTGGCTTTTTAGGAACTACCCAAATAGGGGAATTATAAGGACTCTTGGATGGCCTTATTATACCCTCTTCAAGGAGTTCATTAATCTGTCTGTCGACTTCTTCCCTCATACCAGCCGGATAAGGATAACTCTTACTGTATATAGGGTCGGAAGTGGATGTTCGTATTTCGGCTCTGACGCTAGTGTCGATTAGCTCACTAAAATTTGATTTCGTATTTCCGGTGGTACATTGTTCCCAATAGTATAATTAACTTGATCTGAAACCTTTGCTTTCAGTGGTAATTTAAAGTCGTCAATTTGTAAGTAGTGGTTTTTCCTATCCACCACAGCACCCAACATCCTTAATGTATCACCCCCTATAATACCATCGAAAGATCTTAGACCTGGTAATACAAAGAAGGTGATTTTGGAACTGTGACCGATATATTTAAAAAGTTTGATATTAATTTTCTTGCCAATTGGCACTCTTCCCCCTCCTGAGTGCACATTAAACATTTCGTCTACAGGCTCGCCCTCTGTTGCAATATATTCGCTTGTAAAGTTTTTATTTGCACCTGTATCGGCAAGGAAAGTGAGAGTGCGGCCAATTGGGAGCTTGTACTCTAGGTATGGTACGCTAGATGTCCTTCGGAAAGAAAATCCTCCTGCGCGTCGTTGCTTGGTACTTCCTCTCTCACGTCTGTGGTTGAGTAAAAAAGTCGCTGGTGTTTCCTGGGAAGACTTGGATTTGGAGGATTTGGTCGCCTCATATATTGTAATTAACCGCACGTGACTGAATGGAGCTATCTACTTCCATTTTTTCGACGGGTTGATTTCTAAATTGTGCAGATGATTGATAGGGTGGTCGAAAAGGCTGTTGAACGCGGACATGTCCGGATCGCTCTCGATTTTGGAATTGCGGGTGATGATTTAGTAGCTGTCAATTTTTCCTGGGGGGAATTGGCGGAGAGTTGTTATCATTTCTAAAATTTGAAGTTGGGACATTATTTAGGAACAACTACTTTGTTGTTCGATTGAGGGCTGTGTACTGCGAAATTTCTGAAATTCACATTTTGAATTTCTAAACAGGCTGAGTAGGCTTCTGGTAGTGTCTTCGGGCGTTATATCAATTTTTGATAAGTCATCATTTACTCCACGTATAAATACGTAGAGCGCCCTGTTCCGGTAAGCGTCAATTAGTACTCTCACCGTTTCTTCCGTGTAGGATTCAGTTTTTATCTTATTTATGATCAAAGAAAATTGGTGATTGACAGCTGCATAGAATTCATCGATTTTCGAGCCTCTTTGCTGCAGCTGATGCCATGGGTGCTCAAGGGTTCTTATGTCCCGCTTATCTGCATAATGCAGTGAGAAGCACTCTTTAATTTTTGACCAACTGTTATCGAATATATTATACGACACTAATGCCGAAACAGCTGCACCACGGACTTTCTGTTTAATGTGTTGAAGTATAGCCCTGAATAGGGGTATTCCCTGCACAACTGTGAAGTTGGATAAAATGGGTTCTACAGAATGTATACAGGATACATACTCTATGGGATTCCCGTCAAACCCAGGACGCTCCTTAACACAGTCGGGAACGCCTTCGTCCTTTAAGTCGGCTTCATTCGCTGGGGCCTGTAATAGTATTTCTTCAGTTTTGGCAGTATCCCCAGACCTAGCCCCTGGCGACATTGTCACCGCTGCGCTGATGGTGTCAAGACGCACGACGCATTGACACACGAAGTCAAATTTTTTAAACTTTTGGCTTTGGCGCCTTTTTTGCTTCTTAATAACAATTTTCTTGCAACACTTTGGCTTTTCTTTCTGGTTGAACTTTTATTTTTTGCACTTTATTTTTTATGGTTTTTTTTTATGAAAATTCTTTGCATTTATTTTTTATGGCTCTTTTTTTTTGATAAAAATTCTTGCATTTATTTTTTATGGCTCTTTTTTGCAAAAAAAAAATTTATTTGCACTCTAATTTTTATGGCTCTATTTTCTATTTGCTCAAAAATCTTATTTGCTCTTTTTTATTTTCTTATTTTTCTTTTTGCTAGAAAATTTTATTTGCACTTTATCACTCCTGGGTCCCTGCTCGGGCGCCAGTTAAAACTTGTGGTTAATTGTACACAAAAACATAAGAGGGCCAGCTGCCCACGGTTTAAAACAATTAGTTAATATTTAAAATAAAAATTTTTCATAACTAAGAACTACACAAGGATTAAATAAAGTTTAGCTAAATTGAATAAACAGAGTTTAGCTTAATAGAATAACAGAGTTTAGCTTCCTGGAACTCCAATATTTGCGGCCTTTTATAGGTTTATCTGCATAAGGGCGAGGTTAATGTTAATGTTAATGTTAATGTTAATGTTAATGTTAATGTTAATGTTAATGTTAATGTTAATGTTAATGTTAAAGTTAATGTTAATGTTAATGTTAATGTTAATGTTAATGTTAATGTTAATGTTATTGATATTGATATTGATATTGATATTGATACTGATATTGATATTGATATTGATATTGATATTGATATTGATATTGATATTGATATTGATATTGATATTGATATTGTTAATGTTNTGATATTGATATTGATATTGATATTGATATTGATATTGATATTGATATTGATATTGTTATTGTTATTAATTTTGTTATTGTTATTAATATTACTTTTTTATACGACGAACCCAGTGTTACCCACTTCCCGGACAACCGACCGAGAGCGCGACTGAGAGAAATCGAAAAATCCAACCGAAAACCAGTAACTGTCCGGACTGCCCTGTACAGTAAACAGATACAGATTTGTTCATCATATTTAAAGCACTTAGTAAGTAGATTTTGGTACAGAAAAGCGAGTCAGAGGAATCAATGTTAGGGAAATTTGTATTAAAATCATTACACAAAGATCTCAAAGGGTCGTGGATTTCGAAGCTTTTTCTGCCTTATCCCAATGAAAGGAGCCAAAAGTGTCTAGATGATCTTACCGGGATGGTAAAGTTAACCTCGCTAATTAGGAAAGGGCTATGGATAGCACCTCTTCTCAATTTAGTTGAAAATAAAACTAAGCATCTTTCTACGACTATGAAGTTTGGGCAAATTAATGAGCTGTAAACGACTCTTGTAAGAAGGCAGGTTCTTGTTCGATCCCAGCTTAAATTTCTTAACGCGAATAATAGAAATTGCTTTTGTACAGATTCCAATTTATCACTATAAAATTGAATGGGCCTAACAAGTGAGGTAAAAAGTAATTTGGTAATGTATGGATCCTGGAATTACTTAGCTCAACGTTGAGGAAACTCCATGTTACTGCTATTTCACGGGATGTACAATATTTAAAAACTATTTTTTGTTTTTTACCAATCAAGTATGATGAAGTTCTCTTGAGAAGAGAAGGTGGAAACCCTACCCTTACTATTATTATTACTATGCTATTATTACTATTATTATTATAATTCTATAATTATTATAATTCTATAATTATTATTACAATTCCATAATTATTATTATAATTCCATAATTATTATTACAATTCTATAATTATTATTATAATTCCATAGTTTTTATTATAATTCAATAATTATTATTATAATTCTATTATTACTATTATTATTATTATTCCATGTTATTATACACTTTCAAAAAATTCGACAAGATGGCAACAAACCAGACAGTTGTAAAACATTCCTCTGATACTTGTGACGCTAGGCAGGTTCGTCATGCTCCTCGAAGGTTTTTCCTGGCCAATCGGGAGCTGCGAACCAAATAATCAAAGAAATAATAATCATCATTTGATTGAATCATCGCGCATTGGGGTAAAATATGTCGATTTTGGAAATTAATTCAAAATAAAGTTTCACTGTACAACTAAAAAACGAAATGATATCAAATTCTCCATTATTAGCTGAACAAATATTTGGCAAAAAAATATTATTTATATTTTTAAATTGCAAAAATTATAATGAGCCTTCTTGTTCAGTTAATTTAGTAAGTTTAAAGTGATTCTATCTGATTTTTGCGCGAAAGCTTTTAAATATGGGAGCTTCGACTTTATAGGCAGATATGTAGCTGTGAGTTAAGCGAGGCAAAGCCAACCTTGTTTTATTTCTGTAATCAATAGTTTCTTTTTGTAAAAAGAAAAAATTGCGCAAATATTGCGGACTTTCCCAGAATATGAATTTTTTTATGCGAACTGCCTAGTAATATATACACGAATTTCTCAAGGCAGAACAAGAACGAGAACAGCAATTGCAAAAAACAAAATTTGAAATAAAATCAAAATTTGGTCCCTTTGTTTAAATTCTACGTTACGATAAATGGCAGTTTATATGCAAGAAAAAACGTTTTCAGAAATAGGCTAAAATTCGAGTTTTCTTAAATATTCAAAATAATACACTTAACATTTTCGAATAAGAGTAGAGTTAAGACGGATCATGCAACGCTGAAGAGGCTAATACAGCTCAAGATTCCTGAAAGACAGCTGTAGATTGAGAGACTTAAAAGTTATGAATTCACTTTTGAGCACCGCAAAGGAAATTTCGATGCCATTTTCCGTCGGCTATGTAGCTATGAATGTAAACCCAATGTTAATGTTTCTGTAAAAGAAGTTAAAAAATGAATATCATAAATTCTGTAAATGTATTTTGAGTTATAATTGTGTTTATTTTTTTTTTTTTGTGTGCGATATGTATGTGAATGAAATCTCGAATTGTGATCAGTTTCTGATTGCTTCCCTCTTTGTAATATTGTTTTATATAGTTAATAAAACTCTCGTTTTCTTTTTGTTTTTAACATTACTTCAATTTTTATAACATATTTTGTTTTGCATAGATAATACATGCTCTGGATACTGACTCTAATTGTACAAAAATGAATTTATCACATAAGTTGGAGAATGTGGCATATACCTTGGGGGGAGAGGAAACCCCTGCTTGCTGACATCTGGAAGGAAGTCTTTTTACGGAAACAAAATTACGGTTAATTATAAATTGTTTCATATATGTTGACGTATATTTAGAAAGTTTTTGTGGTGGTTCCAATATGTTTTTTAAAGGTAAGCGCCATAAATGCAGGTGTCATATAATATATATGTATTTACACAATGTTTCACTCTGACATATTCCCTCTTGTTCAACATCTTTTTAATGCAGGCATGTTTTGAGCACCAGTTAGTAAATAAAGAACCCGAACTTATTATTATTTGAGTTAAATTTAGATAAAGATTTTGAAAAATTTACGAGGTGTGTTCAAAAAAAAATCGCGAATTTTGCGTTTCTTCAAAAATTATTTATTCATAAATATCTTTTTGGTCCCCTTCAAAGTAATCCCCATGAGATATTATAGACTTGTGCCAACGGTTTTTCCAATCTTCCAAATCCAAAATCCAAATCATTTTTTTGTCTTGTTCAGCTCCTCCTTTGATGCCGTCTTTATCTCGTCAATCGTAGCGTAACGTCGCCCTTTCATGGGCCTCTTCAGTTTGGAGAGCAAGAAATAGTCACAGGGGGCCATATCTGGGGAATACGGTGGCTGCGGCATCATTAGTGTGTTATTTTTGGCCAAAAAGTCGTGCACAAGCAACGATGTGTTAGCAGGAGCACTATCGTGCTGCAAAAGCCAATTTTTGTTCTTCCACAAATCCGGGCGTTTCTGGCGGATTGCTTCGCGCAAATTGCGCATAGCTTGCAGGTAGTATTCCTTATTGACCGTTCTACCCTGTGTCAAGCATCATGAGGCTCCACGCCCCTGCAATTAATTTTTTCGTCTGTTGTTGAAACGCTCGGGCGTCCGGCATGCTCTTCGTCGTTCACATCTTCTCGGCCTTCTGAGAACATTTTGTACCACCCATAAACGTTGCTTCGCTCCAAGGTAGCTTCTCTGTATGCCACAGTCAACATTCGGAATGCATCCGCGCACTTAATTTCGTTTTTCTCTCAAAATTTGATACAGGTAGTTTGATCCATTTTTTCGGATAAATAAAAATCGAAGACCATCCAAAACACGTGCAAGCATATCAGCTGTTAACAACTAAGTGAACGTTCAAAATGGCCGAGCTTGTCGACATAAGTGACAGACATGAGTGTCAACATAACGCCACAAAAAAATCGAAATTCGATTATATGTAACCCGCGAAAGTCCAAAATTAGCGATACTTTTTGAACACCCCTCGTATATTATATTGTATATTATACCTTGTAGCTATCAAATTTTTACTCACTGTGAAACATTGTATTTAAAGAATCCTAGTGGGAACATTTAATTCATTTCTACATATTTTTAGCTGCTACTGTATGGGGAACGATGCAAGACCGCACTTGGTAAACAAATAATTTATGTAAAATATTTTTAATTAGAAATACTAGTTTAACGCCAGTGACAAGACACTTGCTGCTCTCTGGTTATGCTAACAGTTTTAGTTTTTAGTTGATATTAATTTTGCTACACATTTTTATCAGACTGAGAGTGTACTACAAAATATATAAGTAAGATATTTACTAAAAAATTTAACGAATTGTAAAAACATAGAATACATAAATGACATTTTATAATATTAGTTTGCTCTTAACATTTTAAAATTCAAAGTCGTTACTTTCCATTTAAAGCGTATCAGAATTAAGATTTTTTTTATTATTGTGATATATTACGTTGCGGCTTTTATATTTGTATGACAGTTATAAATCATTTAATCAGTTAAGCTCATAACAAAAAGTTATCTTGATATATTATTAAGATCGTCTTGTACAACATAAATGTATTTTGATACCAAATTCATTTGGAGCAAACCCTTTAAATTCTCCACCTGTTAGTTCATAAGGAAGCAAAAGATTCGTAACCATTTCAAAAAATATACAATATGATATTCATACAGAAACAAGTAAAACAGCTAAATAGCGCCCTAAACCCTTCCGAATCCAAATCCGGGCGTTTCTTGTGTATTGCTTCGCGCATATTGCGCATAACTTGCAGGTAATATTCCTTATTGACCGTTCTACCCTGTGGCAAGAACTTATGATGCACCACGCCCCTGCAATTTATTTTTTCGTCTGTTATTGAATTGGTCGGGCGTTCGGCACGCTCTTCGTCGTTCACATCTTCTTGGCCTTCTGAGAACTTTTTTTACCACCGATAATCATTGCTTTGGTCCAAGGTAGCTTCTCCGTATGCCACAGTCAATTTTCGGAATGCATCCGCGCACTTAATTTCGTTTTTCACACAAAATTTGATACAGGTTCTTTGATTCATTTTTTTCGAATAGGCAAAAATCGAAGACCATCCAAAACACCTGCAAGAAAATCAGCTGTTAACAACTAAGTGAACGTTCAAAATGGCCGAGCTTGTCGACATAAGTGACAGACATGAGTGTCAACATAACTCCACAAAAAAATCAAAATTCGATTAAACGTAACCCGCGAAAATTCAAAATTCACGATACTTTTTGAACACAAATCGTATATTATATTGTAGATTATACCTTGAGCTATCAAATTTCTACTCACTGTAAAACATTGTATTTGCAGAATTTTATTGGGAACATTTAATTCATTTCTACATATTTTTAGCACTTGGTAAACTAATAATTTATGTGAAATATTTTCAATTATAAATACTAGTTTACCGCCGGTAACAAGACATTTGCTGCTCTCTGGTTAGGCTAATAGTGGCTTATAGTTTTAGTTGATATTAAATTTTCTACACATTTTTTATCAGACTGGGAGTGTACTACAAACAATATAAGTAAGATATTTACTAAAAAATTTAACGAATTGTAAAAACATAGAATACATAAATGACATTTTGTAATATTAGTTTGCTCTTAACATTTTAAAATTCAAAGTCGTTACTTTCCATTTAAAGCGTATCAGAATTAAGATTTTTTTTATTATTGTGATATATTACGTTGCGGCTTTTATATTTGTATGACAGTTATAATTCATTTAATCAGTTAAGCTCATAACAAAAAGTTGTCTTGATATATTATTAAGATCGTCATATATAACATAAATGTATTTTGATACCAAATTCATTTGGATCAAACCCTTTAAATTCTCCACCTTTTAGTTCCTAAGTAAGCAAGAGATTCGTAACCATTTCAAAAAATATACAATATAATATTCATAGAGAAACAAGTAAAACAGCTAAATAGCGCCCTTAAACCCTGAATTTAAAATTGGTGAAAAATCTCAATAGTTGAAACAATTATAAAAATATTCGAAATATAACCAAAACTAGGTTAGAAGATTTGCAAAACCTAATATTTCTGCCTTGCGATCTTTATTAATATTAGTAAGTACAGCTTAACTTATTTTGAAAATAGAAATAACTATCTAGGAGATGTTCATGAGTACTGAATATTCGTTTCCGTCTGGTGTCATAGAGAGCTACAATTCTCTTAATATTATGTTAACACTAATCGTGTTAAAACAAAACAATTCGTTAAAGAATAAATTTATTTTCTTATCTTCGTAAAAAGAGAAGTGTATACGGGCATATGCATTTGCGCCACTGTTGTTGTAATGCCAAAAATTGGGGGCAGTGGCAGTACTGCGCTGGAAAAAATATCAGAGTTGTTCCGGCAGCAAATCCCAATGTCATGGAAACTTGTCGTCTCTTATGGCAGGATTTTCCATTTTAAGATAGCATTTGCGGTCAATTTTAGACTCAAAAATACCAAAATCTTGTCGCAAAAATTTGCATTTTTATTTTCGTAGAGATTAGGCGTCAATGGGATAATGCTCCATCAGAAATGTTAAAAAATTAGGTTCGAAGTATGCCAAAACATCTTCGCGCAGTAATTAAGAGCAAAGGTGGGAATACTGATTACTAAATTTAGTTTTAAAACAAAGTTTTTTGATTTTTTTGAAAATTTATACTTTCATTTGACGCATTTTGTTTTGAAAATTATTTAGTTGGGTTAAAAAACATATATTTTTCATTCGATATCTAGAAAAAAGTATTTTCCTATGTTTTTGTTAGTCACGCACCTATGGAAATATGATAACATTGTATCAATTGACATTTATTTATTTTAATAAATCATCACTGAAACAACTACTGTGAAATTTATACTTTCATATGCTATAGTATAACATGGTATGAGCGATACCGATTTGAAGAGGTTAAAAACATTACTATCTTCCTTATATGAACCAATTTTAATGTAATTTAGGTTACTCATATAACATTAATGAAAATTTATAATTTTTAAAACTCAATTGGAAGGGCGTATTGAGCCACTTCATGAATTTACGAAAGTTATGTTTTTTTGATGACCGGATAAAAACCGTTATTAGTCAATTGAAAAATCGTCGGAGTGGAGCCAATAGGCATAAAGAGCGTTTCCCTAAGGTAGACCAAAGTTTGCTAGATTCTTCGATCTTGGTCGCAAAGAACTTTTGTAGAAGTAGAGACGAAATTTACAAAAAAAAAAAAAATACGGGATTTACCGGCCTTTGAGTTGATCGTGATAGAGAATGGCAGTAATATAGAAGTTGATGATGATGATATAGTAATGCTGTTGCTGATTAAACTTATGATTTTAATTTATTCAATTTTTCATTTATGTTCTTAACCTTGATTTACTTTAAAACATTACTGAATTTTTAAGTATGGTATCACTTTAATTTATTTCGTTAAAAAGNCCAGAATTCGTCGTGAATTCTGGAAAACGGGGATCGGGGGAGGCACCGTACTTCCACAAGTAATCCGATCTGTAACAAAAATTAGGAAAAAAAACCTTCTTCCTCTCCAAGAGAGTGCACCAAAACAAGCTAGCTTTTTTGTTAGAAATTATTAAATATTTTATTTGAATATTTTATGTGATATAAATTATTATTTACACATATATGTGAAATATACCTAGAAAAATAGGAAAGACTCACCTTGATGTCGCTGATACGCCGAGTTGGATAAAAAGAAGAAGGTTTGTTAGGCAACATTGGCCTTTTTTTGACTCCACAGAAGGGAAAATCTTCATGGAATCGCTAACGGGATTCAAAACTACTGGTTTATCATGTTATCTTCCAGTGGATCAGCGACATCTAGGGGCGAGACTGTTGCGACGCAGCAGGGTTGCACGCATAAACACATTTCATATAATAAGATCTGTTAGTATGAAATCTACCAGTATGCATTTCGTATAATAAGATCCGTTATTATGAAAACTATTAATATGCAATTCAAATAAAAAGATCCGATTGTTGCTGTTTAAGCTTAAGATTTTCATTTATTCTATTTTACATTTATGTTCTTAACCTTCATTTACTTCAAAACATTAAATATGGTATCACTTTAATTTATTTCGTTAAAAGTTTGAAATTTTAACGAAGCGTTCATATATGCATTCATATACTTCATTTTAAATTCTTTTTGAATTGTTAAAATAGTTCTTTATTTAAATTAATTTGATTTTAGATACTAAAACTGTGCTGTTGGTTTGAATGTAAGAACTCAATAAACCGCTTGTTTTTAATACTCGTTTATGTTGATATTCTTTCGAACGTTTATTTGCTGCCGCAAACATTTTTTAATATTCTTCATCTCAGCGTAACCTACTGAGACGGGAATCCAATGAATCAATACAATCTTCGAAGCAAAATACAGTGTACGCCAAAGCAATTGCCAAATAATCACATGGATTCGTCACACGGAAGTACTGAGATGGAATCAGCCAGCGAAGGAGAGATGGACGTCATGCCTACACAAACAGATAAGTCAATAAGTGATTTACAGAAAAAAATCTTAGAGTTACAACGCTCATTAGCAGCGTCTGGGAAAGAAAAGTTAGATTTAAGGAATTCTATTGCCATACAATCTAAATTTAGCGTCAATTCTGCCCCCAAATTTGCCAATATCAACTCTGACAACGTCAACGTAGAAAGTGGTTACTTTGCCACCACTGCCGATATTTCAACCGCTCGTTGCCAGCAAATGGCTATCAGAAACCTAAAAGTCAACCATTCCGGATTACTACCGAATTGTGCCACTTACGCCGACAGAAACACCCATTTTGTCAATCCTAACTTAAATAACTTGTCCAGTAATACCGCTTACGCAATAACTGCCAATAATTCGCCGAATACTTATGGAATACATCCCCAGTTTGCTTCTAGCCATATAAACTCAGGATTGCGTGAATCTCAAACTAACATTCTGCCACAATCAATAACTATACAACCTCCACATATTCGAGAACTTCTAGATTTACCCGAGTTTAATGGATCGCCAGAAGGATGGCCAATGTTCTTTGCAGCCATGTATATGTACACCGATCTAGAGAATTTGTTTCGTCTACAAAAAGCTTTGAAAGGGTCAGCTAAACAAAAAGTAGAATCATTGCTTATCTATCCATCAAGCGTGAATGATGTGATATCTATACTGGAATTTAATTTTGGGCGTCCACAACTATTAATTCGCAGACAAATAACTAAAGCTCGTGCCTTTCCACCTATTTCCGGATTGAAATTGACAGATATAATCGCCTTTAGTGCAATGCTAAGCAACTTGACAGCCTTTTTGGAGAATGCTGGTGCTGCTGCACATTTAACAAATCCGACGCTTTTAGATGAATTGGTGAGTAAACTTCCTATGAGCAAACGTGAGGAATGGGCTCGCTACGTTTTTCCTTGAGTTTATCTTATCCAAGTGAAAACATTTTAATAATTGGCTGCAAGAAATAGCAATGTTTATATCAATAGCAGCAGATGTTATTCCACAATAGATGTCGAATGTAAATGATCAGCTGATTTCGAAACCGAATAAGTCTGCAGTGCTTAAAGTTCAAAGACATTGAATGCAACAAAAGATGGAAGTTTGTAAAAGAAAACCATTTACGTTTTTGTTGCCTTCGTTCAGGTCATAGTGCTGCCAATTGTACAAGTTGTCGTGAGTGTGGTCTTAATTCATGCAAAAGAATTCATAACCGATTGCTCCATGAGACCTTAAGTGTTAAAGAAGAGAGTGGCAACTCAAAGCCAATTTCGAAAACAGATACAGATTTTCGAAAGCAGCTGGTAGATAAAACTAGTAGTGTTCATACCATGTTGGAAGGGAAATTTAGTAAAAAAAAAACCCTTTTTAAATTTTTGCCAATTGAAATTAAAGTGCCCCGAGGTAAATGCCAAGTTATGGCATTTATCGATGATGGTTCAAAAATTTTGTTAATCGAGGAAAGTGTTGTCAAAGCTTTCGGTTTGAAAGGACCACAAGATTTCTTGTCACTTAGATGGATAGGAGGTAAAACAACAAGCGAACTTTCGCAACATATAGACTTGAAAATACAGGTGTTGGAGAAAATATACCAAATTATCAAATAAGAAACGTACGTACAACGAAGAAGTTTGAATTACCAGCGCAGACATTAAACTTCGAAAATTTTAAATTGAAATACACGATAGCAAATGATATTTCAGTTGATGATTATGAGAATGCTATTCCACGAATGCTCATCGGCATGTCACCGTTAGAAGTAATTAATCTTGTTGCATGTTTTTCGATTCATAGATCTATTTCAGGCTGTATACTATTTGGTTTTAATGAAGAAAGCGCTGACGGAGTTGTGTGCCGTATTGATTGTGTCGTAAGTACGATGAGAGACATACAAAAACAAATGACAGAGAATTTTAGTATAGATTATTTTGGTGTGAAACCACTACAGCCGGTAATAAACAAAGCCGAAAAAAGGGATAAAAAAATTCTTTTCGAAACAACTAAACAAATTACTACGCAATATGAAACTGGTATGTTGTAGGCTTATAATGAAAGAGAATTTTTTGACAATTACAATATGGCACTGAGACGCCTTGAAATTATTGAGCCAAAAATGTCTAAATACAAATCATTTTTCGAATGGTACAATAATAAAATAGCTGAGTATATAAACAAATCATACGCTAGGAAATTATCACATTCAGAGGCATTGAAGATTTGTCCTCAAACATGGTATTTGCCACATTTTGCTGTTTGCAATATTAATAAAAAAAATAAAAGGCGTTGTCTTTTAATTCAAGGTTAATGAAACCGAAACCTTTGTTGTCAATTTTATTTAAATTCCGGCAGGGTCAAACAGGTGTGTATGCTGACATACGCGAAATGTTTCACCGAGTTAAAATACGTGAAGCTGACCAATAAGCGCAAAGGTTTTTAGAGCGAAATGGAGATTCAACTAAGGAACCGGAAGTGTATGTAATGACTGCGATGATATTTGGTTCGGTGTGCTCACCATGTCCGGCACAATATGTAAAGAATTTAAATGCAAGGAAATTTGAAAAAAGATTATCCGAGGGCTGCTAGCGCAATTATTGATTGCTATTATGTGAACGACTATTTCGATAGTTTCGACACAGCAGATGAAGCTATAGGCATTTCGAGGATGGTCACGCGAATTAATGCGTCCGCCGGATTCGAGCTACGTGGGTTCTTGTCTAATTGTGCAGATGTTCGCTTTGCACTTTCAGATGAATCATCATCATCGTCGTTCCCAGATATAATGAACTTTGATTCCAATGAGTCGTCGACTGAAAAGGTACTTGGAATGCATTCGCGTTGCATGGACGACCGATTTTGTTTTATATTAAAGTTTTCGAGGGTTTCAAAAGATGTGCTATCTGACGCTCGACTTCCGACAAAAGCTGAAGTGTTAAGTCTTACAATGTCTATATTTGATCCTTTTGGCTACCTTGCGAATGTAACCATAAAGTCTAAAATCATATTGCAAACATTATGGCGCCTGAATAAAGATTGAAAACCACCAATACCGGAGGAGATTTTTTCAGAGTGGTACAATTGGTATAAATATTTAGACCAGGCTAGAAGTTTGAATATTTCCCGTCGTTATCAATAAGGACACTACCAAAATAGACTTGCACATTTTTGTCGATGCAAGCGAACTTGCATACGCCGCAGTAGCATACTGGCGTATAGTCGTTTATAGTAACGTAAGCGTGGTATTCGTAGCTGGGAAATCACGATGTAGCCCAATTAAAGCTTTGCCTGTACCAAGATTGGAACTTTTGGCTGCAGTACTGGGTGTTCGCCTAAAAGTTTTTATATTAAGTGGTCATGACGTGAAGCCACAGAACGTAACATTTTGGCCTGATTCAAAGATAGTTTTAAGTTGGATCATGTCGGACAGTCGGTGCTACAAGCAGTTTGTTGCTCACAGAATTGCAGAGATTTTGGATTTATCTTATAACACCTGGTGGCGTTGGGTACTTGGAAAGCAGAATCCCGCTGATGATGCTACACGTATGCAAACAAAAGTTGCTAATGACTCCCTATGCATAACTGGCCCGAAATTCTTAGAAGACCCGGAAACGCCAATCCTTTTCTTTCCGATGATTGTATTAAACAGTCTTGTGATGCTGAGAGGCGTTTAAAAAGCATATTTGTTGTCCACATTGATCCTAAATTAATAATCTTTGAAAAATTTTCTAACTATTACAAATTGTACAGGGTTTTAAGCTGGATAAGATTAGCTGTACTAAAATTCAAATCTATAAAAATTAACAGAAGAAAGAAATCGTATCCTATTTCAAGTCTAAAACTGACAGCAAGTTACATAGATGAAACAGAATAACTTATTTGTCCCCTTGTCCAAAACTGGACATATCCTGATGAGTTACGTGGTTTTTCGAATGGAGATACTGTTTCTAAGAACAGTCCACTTTTTAACTTAACGCCAATGGTTGATCAAGAGGGAGTTTTGAGGCTCTCAGGTCGAATTGATAACGCGGAATGCGTACACTCAAATAAGAAGAGATTATTTTACCAAACAGTCATCCTCTGACTAGATTAATTGCACGTTATTACCACGAGAAATATAAACATCAGAGCCAAGAATCAATCGTGAGTGCTATTCGAAGGAAATTTTGGATTCCAAACTTGTCAATATTGTAAAAATAAAAAAACCGAACCAAAACCGCCACTTATATGGGACAATTACCTAGAGAACGACTTACTGCTTTTGTTCGAGTCTTCAGCTACACAGGTGTGGATTTTTTCGGACCCTATTTTGTAGCCGTGGGACGTCGTCGAGAAAAAAGATGGAGTTGTCTTTTTACATGCCTTACAGTACGAGCAATACATTTAGAGTTGGTTAGAGATTTGTCTGCGGATGCTTTTATTATATGTTTGTTTCATAAATAGACGCGGAATTCCCATTAGATTTAGAAGCGATAGGGACACAAATTTTGTGGGTGCAAGTAAATGTTGGAAGAAAGAGGGTTGGTCGAAGAAGGCACGCGTCATGGTGTAGAATGGATATTCAATTCACCGGGCTGATGAATATCAGCAGGAGGTGCGTGGGAGAGAATGGTGCGCTGCGTAAAGAGAGTACTTTCTTTTACTTTAAAGACGAAGGTACCTCAAATACAGACGCTACAGAGTTTGTTTATAGAAGCGGAGAGTCTGGTAAATTCTCGCCCGTTGACTTATCTGCCTTTAGACCACCAAGATGCAGAACCTCTAACTCCAAATCATTTCATTTTGGGTTGTCCAAATGACGTTCAAACGCCAAGTATATATGTTGCAAATGAAGCAAATTTTTTGGAAGAGTAGGGTGTAAGAATATCTTCCGACCCTTACAAGAAGAAGCAAATAGTGCCAACGTGAAGAACCTATCAAGATTGGCGTCGTGGTACTTGTATGTGATGAAAACGAGCGTCAAGGAGAATGGAAGCGGGGTATTTAACAGAGATATTTCCGGCGCCAGATAGTCAAGTGCGTTCAGCCATTAAAAAAACAACTACTGGTACTCTGCGTAGACCAGCTACAAAATTAGCCGTTTTTGATGTAGTTCGTGAATCTCCTGGATCCCGTTTGATTCGAGGGGGGGCGGGATGTTGCTGATTAAACTTAAGATTTTCATTTATTCAGTTTTACATTTATGTTCCTAACCTTGATATACTTTAAAACATTACTGAATTTTTAAGTATGGTATCACTTTAATTTATTTCGTTAAAAAGTTTCAAATTTTAACGAAGCGTTCATATATACGTTCATATATTTCATTTTGAATTCAATTTGCACAGAACAATTGAAGAAAGAAAAACGAAGAGTAAGTCGTTTGAATTGTTAAAATAGTTCTTCATTTAAAATAATTTGATTTTAGATATTAAAACTGTGCTGTTGATTTGAATGTAAAAACTCAATAAACCGCTTGTTTATAATATTCGTTTATGTTGATATTCTTTCGAACATTTATTTGCTGCCGCAACAAAAGGCCTTAAATCAAGCGGAGATGATTGTAATCATGAATATGATTATGGAGGTAAAGAAGAAGTTTATATAGATATTTTAAATAAAATTTTAAACTTACAAAATTTTTTATGATAAAAAAAAGGCATCAATTAACTCTGATTGTGTTTTTTTTCTTTTTTCTGAATAATTAATTAAAAAAAAATTAATTTTCCGTAACTAGAAGGTATGTGGGAATAAATTTCCATTTTGAGCACCATTTATTCCACTGTGCATCGGAAAGAGCATGGAATTCTCCGGTTGTACTTGCGAAAAATATTGGTCTGACCTTTGGGAGGTTAGAAGATAGGACAAAGATAACAGCAGTTCCGTCACCAATAATCAATTTATAATCTGAATTCGTTGACTGGAATGGAATAGTTCTCCCCACTCGATTTTAGAAGCCTTCTGTGCTGGAAGCAATCTGGCAATTCCATGTGATGCCCTTTGGACCTAATTAATGGACCCCTGAAAGGGGGTTACATTGCAAGACATGTTTCGTGTATCTAGAGACCATAATCGTGCTGGTCTCAAGCGTACGGGGTGCCAAGCGTAACATTTAATCTGGATATGGATATTAGTGGTAATGGCATAGGAGCCGTACTTTCAAAGATCAAGAAAAGGCAACAGAAGGCAGCCACATTATATAGCCGATCAATCGAAAAACCGGAGCCGACCTATTGTGTACCTTGCAAGGAGCTACTAGAGTTAAAACGGATCATGCAACGCTGAAGAGGGCTAATACTGTTCAAGATTCCCGAAAGACAGCTGTAGATTGAGAGACTTAAAAGTTATGAATTCACTTTTGAGCACCGCAAAGGAAATTTCGACGCCCTTTTTCGTCGATTATGTAGCTATGAATGTAAGCCCGATATTAATGTTTCTGTAAAAGCAGCTAAAAAATGAAATTCTGTGGATGTATTTTGAGTTATAATTGTCTTTATTCTTTTTTTTTGTGTGCGATATGTATGTGAATGAAATCTCGAATTGTGATCAGTTTCTTATTGCTTCACTCTTTGTAATATTGTTTTATATAGTTAATAAAGCAGTACTGGGTGTTCGCCTAAAAGTTTTTATATTAAGTGGTCATGACGTGAAGCCACAGAACGTAACATTTTGGCCTGATTCAAAGATAGTTTTCTGGATACTGATTCTAATTGTGCAAAAACTAGTTTATCAGAGGAAACCCCTGCTTGTTGACATCTGGAAGGAAGTCTTTTTACGGAAACAAAATTACGGTTAATTATAAATTGTTTCATATATGTTGACGTATATTTAGAAAGTTTTTGTGGTGGTCCCAATATGTTTTTAAACGGTAAGCGCCATAAATGCAGGTGTCATATAATATATATGTATTTACACAATCTGACATATTCCCACTTGTTCATTATTGTAGATTATACCTTGTAGCTATCAAATTTCTACTCACTGTGAAACGTTGGATTTGAAGAATTCAATTGGAAACATTTAATTTATTTCTACATATTTTTAGCTTCTACTGTATGGGAAACGCTGCAAGACCGCACTTGGTAAACTAATAATTTATGTAAAATATTTTCAATTAAAAATACTAACTAGTACCGCCAGTGACAAGAGATTTGCTGCTCTCTGGTTAGGCTAATAGTGGCTTATAGTTTTAGTTGATATTAATTTTGCTACACATTTTTATCAGACTGATAGTGTACTACAAACAATATAAGTAAGATATTTACTAAAAAATTTAACGAATTGTAAAAACATAGAATACATAAATGACATTTTGTAATATTAGTTTGCTCTTAACATTTTAAAATTCCAAGTCGTTACTTTCCATTTAAAGCGTATCAGAATTAAGATTTTTTTTTATTAATTATTGTGATATATTGCGTTGCGGCTTTTTTGTTTGTATGACAGTTATATTTCATTTAATCAGTTAAGCTTATAACAAAAAGTTGTCTTGATATATTATTAAGATCGTCATCTATAACATAAATGTATTTTGATACCAAATTCATTTGGATCAAACCCTTTAAATTCTCCAACTTTTAGTTCCTAAGTAAGCAAGAGATTCGTAACCATTTCAAAAAATATAAACCCTTAATTTAAAATTGGTGAAAAATCTCAATAGTTGAAACAATTATAAAAATATTCGAAATATAACCAAAACTAGGTTAGAAGATTTGCAAAACCTAATATTTCTGCATTGCAAACTTTATTAATATTAGTAAGTACAGCTTAAATTAATTCGAAAATAGAAATAACTATCTAGGAGATGTTCATGAGTACTGAATATTCGTTTCGGTATGGTGTCATAGAGAGCTACGATCCTCTTAATGTTATGTTAACACTAATCGTGTTAAAACAAAACAATTCGTTAAAGAATAAATTTTTTTTCTTTTCTTCGTAAAAAGAGAAGTGTATACGGGCATATGCATTTGCGCCACTAGTTTGGATTATAAAGCAAATATGCTGAATTTCAAATACAATGGCAATGTTGTAAGGTTAGGAGCTCGTCGAAATATATTAACCAGAAATATAGATAAATCAGATTTTAGTACGTGATGTTGATAAAAATTTTAATTAAAATCGCAAATACTGCAGGCTTTATCAAAAATAAGTCCTCACAAAATGAAATATACAATATTTCGCATAACTTAAAGGATGAGACGAGATGATAGTACCGTTATGCTTATATGTTTATGTGCTGTTGTTGTTGTAATGCCAAAAATTAAGGGGATGGCAGTACTGCTCCGGCAGAAATTCCCTAATTTCATTGCCCGGTCCACCAGCGCATACTAGGTTCAAAGAGAACTGCTTTATTGTTTACTGTTTGAGATTTAATTGTCGTAGATTCGAGGGTTTTAAATGCGGCCTGGCTATATTACTGAAGACAACCTCAATATCCCAAAAAAGCCCGTACTCTAACCGCTATAGAATAATATTTATATACGAGGTATGTTAAAAAAATATCGCGAATTTTGTGTTTTTTCAAAAATTATTTATTTATTCATGAATATCTATTTTGTCCCTTTCAAAGTAATCCCCATGAAATATTATACACTTGAGCCAACGGTTTTGCCAATTTTCGAAGCACTTCAAAAAATCACTTTTTTTAATCTTGTTCAGCTCCTCCTTCGATGCCGTCTTTATCTCGTCAATCGTAACGTAACGTCGTCCTTTCATGGGCCTCTGCAGTTTAAGGAGCAAGAAAAAGTCACAGGGGGCCAGATCTGAGGAATACGGTGGCTGCGGCATCATTAGCGTGTTGTTTTTGGCCAAAAAGTCGCGCACAAGCAACGATGTGTGAGCAGGGGTGTTATCGTGGTGCAGAAGCCAATTTTTGTTCTTCCACAAATCCGGGCGTTTCTGGCGGATTGCTTCGCGCAAATTGCACATAACTACCCTGTGGCAAGTACTAATGATGCACCACACCCCTGGAATCGAAGAAAAATGTCAGAAAACTTTCATTAAAAATAAAAAATAGAAGACCATCCAAAACACGTGCAAGCAAAGCAGCTGTCAACAATTCGATTGTACGTAACCCGCGAAAATTCGAAATTCGCGATACTTTTTGACCATACCTCATACTCGGTTAATAGGCGTATTCAGTCGTCGACTAGCCTTCGTCGCGTACGGTACTCTTTCGACCGAACTCTTATATATATTTTCTTTATATCGGTACTGCGTTAAACAAAACAACCTCACCACACGTGGTTTCCATATATTTTGTTTAGTGAGACAAGTATAGGGTAAAAATGCCTCACGGGGCTTTCATCTTTGAGGAAAATCGGTTCACACCACTGGCAACCAGCTCCCATTAAAAAAAAAAGAAACGTCCCTCATCCCCCAACCACAGATTTCCCATTTCTGCCAAATCCAACAACACCATTACCTGACCACAATATATAATCATTTCAGCAATAAAAGATAAAAAGCACCTATCTTATCCCTTCAAGTAATAAACAGTAATATTGAAATAAAATCTGAGCTAAAAGGCGTTTGCTTACAATCTGCAAAAGGTAAGAACTGCAGAGGAATTTGTCTCAATTATAAAAATACCCGGCATATGCGAAGTGAATTGCAAATTTTATGAAAATCTAAATTGTGTGAAAGCAACAGTTTATGCCCCTTACTTAAATTAAATATTAGATTAATAAATGTGAAACGAGCTGGCTTTCCAAGGTGTCATTAAGGCGTACAAATTCATTAAAAAATACTTATAACGAAATGGTTCCTAGCTGAGTAGTTTTACTCACTTTCGGCCGACTGCCTGTAGCCATCAAAATTGCTTGACGCAGAGAACGATTAAAAAAGTACTTTCCCACCTAATCTTCTTTATCGCCAGCAGCTTTACACTCGTATAGAAGAATAGATAGCTCTGCAGCGCGTATTATTTTCGCCAGCAATAGACCAAAAAAGTCACATGGCAAAGAGCCACCTTGTCTTGAACCTCGTTTGGTACCGAACTGTTCGGAGAGGTCCTCCCAGATTCTAAACGAGCTTTTCGTGTCGTCAGTTAACATAACCAAATAAGTTTTGCAGGAATACCAAATTCAGACATTGCGGCGTAAAAACAGCTCCTTCTGCTGTCGAAGGTTGATTTAAAGTTGACGAAGAGGTTGTGTGTGTAAAGTCTCTTTTCACGAGTCTTTTCCAAGATTTGGTGAATGGTGAATATCAGGTCAATGGTTGACTTACCAGGTCGAGATCCCCCCTGATAAGGAGCAACCAGTTTGTTGACGGTGAGCTTTAGTCTTTCACACTTTACGCTTTATAGGATTTTATTGCGATGTTAAGAAAGCCACGGTAATTTGACAGAGCACACTCTTTTGGCGGGCGATGGCTATTCGCCCTTCTTCATAGGCGGGTAACGGAACAACTTCAGCAATTGGAGTTTCCGGCTTACCATCTTCGGGTATTTCATTTTCACTGCCATTCGGCAAGACGGAAAAGTGTTCCTTCCATAAATTTAGTATACTCTGAGCATCAGTCACTAGCTTACTTCCCTGGGTCCTACAAGAGCTTGCTCCGGTACTAAAACCTTCCGTAAGTCGCCATATCTTTTCGAGGAATTTTCAAGCGTTAGCCTTGTCGGCCAGTTTCTCAAACTCCGTTTACCGTGTTGCTGTTGAGTGCTCTCAGAGAACATGTATGCAAGCCGAGTAGAAAATCGCTCGGCAGTCTGTTGTGACTGTAGCTTTTCGACGTCGAAACTTCCTTGTGTTTGTTGGCGGATGTTTTTTGATACACAGAGGCGTGTGCATATCTTCGCTGCAACAAGAGTGATCTGAGTCGATGTTAGGTCCTCGGAGTGTGCGCACATCAAGAACACTGGATACATGTCTTCCTTCTAACACAAGATGATTGATCTGGTTTTTTGTTTTTCGATCAGGGCACAGCCAAGTGCTGGAATCTAGTACTACAGACAACCAAATTTCGGGCTCAGGCGAAATCTATCAGCTTCAACCCATTCGGGTATGTTTCGTTGTGGAGGCTGGATTTTCCGACTATTGTGCCGTAGATACCTTGTTTGCCTACCTTGGCGTTGAAGTTGCAAAGCACAATTTTGACATCGTCGCTCATAAGTGTGTTCGAGGCTCTCGTAAAAGGCATCCTTAGTCTTTTGGTCCTTCTCTTCCGTCGGGGCGTGGGCGCAAATCAGCATGATGGTAAAAAATTTCGTTATGATTGCTGTGAATGTCACTACTCGGGACGGAGTTTCTCTCCCATTACGAATCCGACACCAAAATTGCACTCCTTTAAATTTCACAATTCCTTTGCATTTAAGGGATCGGGCATTCCAGAGGCAAGCGCTAAAATCGTAATCGTTAAAACATTTGCAGGGGTTGTAATCAAAGGGGGGTCTCTCATCCGAGGCTTGTTTGGATTTTTCATTGGATTTTTCGTTTTCACTGTGGTGGGTCCCAAGCCCTACGCACACCCGTATGATATTCGCTTTCTCACTTTAGCTCGTCTCCAAAGGGATGTTTGTTGGCTACGGAGTGGATACTTGGTTTAAGACCGAAAGTCTTGAACTGATTGAACCATATGCAAAAGAATCGTTTCTGGCTATTCCTAAGTGAATGACAGTCAAAAACTTTCCTAACTTGTATGAACTTCTGCTCATGGTCTCATTTCCCTATTGCTCTTCACAACTACCTAATTAATCCGTACCCTCTTCTTTCGCTGGCATTACTGCTAACAGGGACAACATTCCATCTTAATCTAAAAACATCCCCAAACAAACAAATTCATCTCCTGCTCTACAAAAAAATTTAAAACAATAATAACGTTTAATTAACTTTAGCAAATCCTATCTCAAGTCTCGCTCAATAGCTTATTCATAAAAGGAACTACTTGTAACCTCTTAATTTACAGTAACATCATTATAGCCTATTTTTAAATGCGAGATGATATCTCTAATACAATGGAACATAAATGGTTACTATAACAATTACATTCACCTTGAAATTCTAATAAAAAAATTTTAATCCTTCTCTCATTTTGTTAAATTCAAAATTCACATTACATACTATGTTTTCCCTCATACCCCAAAATCCGATACATGTCATTTCTTCAATATTCCTCACAACACCATACCTGCAGAATCTGGAATAGGTTTTTTGATGTTAAGAAGTAAGTCGGAGAGTTCGCAGGTACTGGAATGAAAATTGAAATTATGACATATCGGCGAAAAGGTTCATTCAATTCATAATCTGTTTTACATGGGTAAAGGTTATCTCAGATAAAAACCATGAACTACGAATTGATCAGTTAAGAAATTTCACTACGAACAATGCTCCTAACATTTCTCCACGACTTGCGAGATTAGGTAGATTTAGAAGCTTTAAACGGTTGGTAACGCAAAAAGTAAAAATTCTTTTTGAACAGACTCCAGTCAGTGAACCATGCTCTAATATTGGCCTCTCTAAACTTGTATAAAGTGCTTTGCAAAGTGCTAATTATGTTATCATATATATACCGGATGGTTTCATACAATAAATCAGCCAAAATTGAAGTAAAACTCAAATTTTTTATTTAATTTCATTCAATATATACTTCAATTCAATAATGAAAAATGATATCGAGCATATGTCCACCTCCACTTTTTCTGCAGACAATCATCCGGTCGTTGAAACTAACGGTAACTCTTTTTCAGACGTCTCTGTCGATTTCGCCAACTACCCGTTGAATTTCCATCATCAGATCGGTAATAGTTTTAGATTTGTTCACGTATGCTTGTGATTTCACATGTACCCATTAAAGGCTATTCTTGGTCTTCAACTATGCAATGTTTTGTAGCCTTCGAAAATTACGGTTTTCACAATAAGGATGCGTTGGTCGATACTGAGCCGCTCCATGGCTGCAAAATGGAAATACGTCAAATGGTCTTTTAATCGGAGTGATAATAGATAACGAAAATGATAGGAACAATGCTGACAATCTTCAAACCAAAAAATCCCGCGCAATTTAAAAACTGCGTACTTTATGAAATTCATGAATTATAGAAACAGAATTGGGCCGAGATGGCTAATGGATAATTGTGATAAAGTGTATTTAATACGCTTATTCTCACTGTTACCAGTAAAGTAAATTTTGTTGCTTCTTTTAACACCACTAGCGCACAGGGTACATTGTTTGACGAAATTTTGGCAGCACTGCCTTTTTTCGACAATGTCAAATTACATTTGCCAGTTGGTGGAGTAAAGTGAAGAATATTCACAAAATATTTCAGCTTAGTTATAGAAAGTATGCCTGGATGACAAAAGAACCTGAATGAAAACGCTTTCTCCCAAATTAATAGGGTAAATTTTCCCGCAAACTTTTTAAAAAGCACTTTTTTGCATTTCTATCTCTATCTTCAATGAATTGCATTTTGGTTTTTATTTTTTCTGAATCTTAATTGCTTTACTGACGTAGGTACCGCTGACGCGATTATAACAGATTTAGCAACACTACGCCATTCGTTTCTTCTCTTTGCTGTTTAGTGCCAATTGGAAATACCAAGTACAGCCAGATCCTTCTCTATTTGGTCTCTCCAACGGAATGGAGGTCTTCCTTTCCTCTGCTTCCACCGGCGCGTACTGCATCGAAACTTTCAACACAAAATCAAACAGCAGATTTATTGTTGCCTTCTATTTCGCTGGTAATTTTACAGGGTGACAGTGAACTCAGAATACGAAATAGTAAAATAATTTTTGGAACGGTAAATTTTATTACCTCGACAGAATAGGCCTGTAAATGTTGCTAGTAGTGTTTTATCGCAGAAATACCGATTGAAGATATCTTCGTTGAAGATCTAGTTATATGGTTGTTGATGGTTGAGAATGAAGTGATTAACACTATTGAATGCTTCACTATAGTTGTAGATCAGTTAGTTTTTTTTTTTTTATCTCTAAAGGCTTTAAAGATATATGACAAAAATCGAGCGATTCTGTAAGTGTTGATTTTCCTTTAAAAATCCGTGTTTGGCGATTGGATAGTAATTAGGAGATCGGAAACGTTGTCTGACTAGTAATGATTGCCTCAAAAACCTTTGGTAAAGCGAATATTTTTGCAATATCTCTATAATTTTCAATATTAGACTTATGGCCACTCTTCTGTAAGGGTACTATAAAATACTGCATCCACGTTGTAGGGAACACACCTTGCTTTAGGTAGGAATTAAGAAGTTTAGTTAGTTCAGTTGGTTTAGATTCATCAAGTGATACAATATAAAATATCTTTCTCAGAAATAGATGGTGAGTTATCTATTGTTGTTGAACGTAAGTACTGTTACATGACATAGTGGATGACGTAACAGGAGAAAGGTTACATTTGGAGGTAATAAAATCGTAGAACAGCTTTGGGTTTGGTAACATATTTTTCTTAACTTAGTTATGTAATCATTATAACATTTTTTGTTAAGTTCAAGAAATTTTCGACGAAAGGTCGAGTATTTTAAGTAATGTAATTGTAAGACACTGCTTTCTTAAAAGCTTTTGATCTCCTATTTTTTTTAAACAGCATAACTGTTTTTTAAACTATTAATACTGCAACGTACCCGGTTCTCCGGTTTATAGCTGAGCTATCTCTCAGCCGGATTATGGGTCTCTCCTATAATCTCGATGCAAGAAAAGGGCAACACGAATGGTTCTACGTTACACAGGTAGCTTTATTTTCAAACGTTCTACTGGCAGCGTTTTCACGACACACAATATATATTAAACCGTATCGTACTGGCAGCATTTTCACGACACACCATATATCTTAAGCCGTATCGTACTGTCAGCGTTTTCACGTCAGCCGATATACCATATATTCTGACTACGACAGCACAAACAGAAGTGTCGTATCACTGCTGATGCTGCTCCTTTTATACTAAATTTTCCTACAGGTGGACAGTTATGCCTATCGCCTGTTCTCCTTTGCCCTACTTAACAGCGGCGGCTCGCTACGCTAGTGCCTAGCTTAAATGTTTAGTACTTATTTATATTATGTACATATGTATATATATATATATATATATATATGTGTACATACATAGATATGTAGGTATATATTGTATATATATATATATATGTAATTATCTCTATGCGTTGTATATATAGGTATTTTATGTTATATGTATATATATATGTTGTAACTTCTCTGTTGTTGTTGTTGTTCTTGCTGTGGAGGCTCCAAGGCCTCGGACTTGGGGTCTTCACACCCACCCTTTACTTCCCGTGTAGCTTTCACCTGTTCTGTTCTCTGCTCTTCGACATCTTCTTCTTCTTCAATACTTCGGCTTCTTCTTCTTCGAATTTCGTTCTGTACGTAGACTACTTCAAATTGTGGTTCTCCTTCTCTTTTGCTTTGGCTTCTTCGTCTGTATTCTTCTGCTTCTACTTCTCTGTTTCTTCGGTTTCTTCTTCTTCTTCGGATATTCTTCGGCTTGTTCTTCTCTCGTGGTATTTCGGTTTCATCTTCTGTTTTCTTCTGCTTCTTATTCTCCGACTCTTCGGCATCTTCTTCTTCGACTCTTGTTCTTTGCTTGGACTTCTTTGAGTTCTAATTTTTCTTCTTCTTTGTTTCTGCGGATTCTTCTTCTTCTGTGCTTCTTTGGCTTCCTCTATTTCTTCGCTTTGTCTACTACCAGAGTTTTGCTTCTCTCACCCGTAACCGCATCTTTTTGCTCACTCGGCTTAGTTATGTGACATCTAGCGCACTGTCGGATGTACCTTTTGATATCCCTGAACATTCTCGGCCAGTAATATCGTGCTGCTGCCTTTTCAACAGTTTCCTTAATGCCCATGTGTTCGGGATTGGGACTGCCATGAACTTCGTTCATTACTCTTTGACGTAATGGGGTTGCTACGCAGAGCTTCCATGGGGTGGCGTCTTCTTCATTTGGTATGTGGTGTAGCGTGTAGTGCGGGAGCTTTTCCGGAGCCAACTTAGCTTCTCTTAATTTGGTTTCTAGCCACCTGCAGTTGATTGTTTCATTTTCTCCGACTTCTATCTTCGGCTGCTCTTTCGTCTTACGATCGAATGGTCCTTCGTAGACCTTCATAGTCGAACATTTAATTTTCGTTCGTGTCTCGCTTTCTGCTTTCAGCTTAATTATTTGCCCGCCGCAGCTAATGGTTGTGTTGGCTTTTACTAGGTAATCTGTCCCGAGAACCACGTCGTCGATTACGCCTGGTAGGATAAGTAGCTCGCTCGTGTGCTCTTTGTCGCCCATTTGTATAGTTATTTTCACTGCTTCGGTGACCGCTCTCGGTCTACCATCTCCCATCCATACCTTCTTGAACACCCTTCGTGTTGGTCCCACTTTTAGGGATTCTGCTACCTTCTTGCTGATAAAGCTCTGAGTTGCTCCAGTATCGATCGTTGCTGATATGGGCTTTCCGTTTATCGCGACTGAGGCGATTATGCGACCTTCTGTCTGGCGTAGAACTGACGGCGCCTTGTACGAAATTTTTGCAACGGCGGACGATTTCACCCCTCGTATTAGGTGGAGTCGCTGGCCGTTTCCCGGACTCGAACGGCAACACTCTTGGGTCCGAACGCCTCTTCGTCCGCATGTCCAGCAAAACAGTTGGATGGCGTTCTGACACTCATATGCGAAGTGTCCATGTTCCCCACATCTTCTACACACCGTTCGCTCGGCTAGGCTTCTCGTCCCTAGGCTGCCGGTTCACCTGGTGTGGTCGTGGAATCAACGCCTCTCTTGTCGGCGCATGCCGACGCTCTTCGTAGTGCCTTTCTGGCAACGTATATCTCTCTCTACGCGGCATAGTAACGCTCTTCATTTCTCGTGGGTGGCATTATTCTAACTGCAGCCCTAGATTGCTCTCTCTCTCGCATGATGTTTTCGAAGTCTTGGGCCAGACTTACTAGTTCGGTTAGGGTCCCGAACTCACTCTCTTTCATGTATAGTTGGTAGTCACTCCTACAATTTCGATATAAGGCTCGCTCCTTGAGCAGCTCCGGTAACGCTCTCGGGAGCGCGTTTAATTCTATTTCGTAGCTGTGTGCTAATTCTTCCACGCGTTCGATGAAGCCCAGTGGGTCCTTGCCGCCGTCGTATTTCACACCCCACTTGCGAACGCGGTCCATCACTGATTGGTTGGACAATTGTGGGTAGACGTGAGTATATGTCTCGATCATAAGGGGAGACATTCCCGTCCCGCCGTCGTTGCTAGGTTGCTGTGACTGTGGCAACTGTAGCGACTCCTTTTGGTGTCTCGGTGTAGGCGTGTTTTTTATCGTAGATAATTTCGCGTGTCTCAACGATAAGTCTGTGACCCGATCACGCAGACTTTTGCTCTCGCCCTCCACCTGCAGAAATGTCGCTGGGCGTTTTCTCAACTCGTCAACGGTGCCTATATTCGATAGGCCGAAGTCGGTGGAATATTTTATCAACTCCTCTTTTTTGAGGTAGTAAACCCAGTTTACTTTAACCATTTTATTTTATATATTTATATATATATTTTTTTTTTTTCAGCACTTTTATTGTGCCTCGCACTTGTGTCTCTATCACTTTGCTTTATTTTATATATATATTGTGTATCACTCTCACTCGTATTCGTACGCACTCCTGTTTTAACTTCACTTCACTTTCACTTTTGGTTCCTTATTACTTGGCCCTTATTTTCCTCGATTTTATAAGGGCCCCACGTTGGGCGCCAGTTGTAACGTACCCGGTTCTCCGGTTTATAGCTGGGCTATCTCTCAGCCGGATTATGGGTCTCTCCTGTAATCTCGATGTAAGAAAAGGACAACACGAATGGTTCTACGTTACACAGGTAGCTTTATTTTTAAACGTTCTACTGGCAGCGTTTTCACGACACACCATATATCTTAAACCGTATCGTACTGTCGGCGTTTTCACGTCAGCCGTATATCTCTATTGGCAGCGTTTTCACGACACACCATATACTTCTATCTACTCCTATTGGCAGCGTTTTCACGTCAGCCGTATATCTCTATTGGCAGCGTTTTCACGTCACACCATATACTGCTATCTACTCCTATTGGCAGGGATTGCACGTCACACCATATATTCTAACCACGACAGCACAAACAGAAGTGTCGTATCACTGCTGATGCTGCTCCTTTTATACTAAATTTTCCTACAGGTGGACAGTTATGCACTGCCTTTTGTTGGTAGGCCTATCGCCTGTTCTTGTTTGCCCTACTTAACAGCGACGGCTCGCTACGCTACTCCCTAGCTTAAATTTCATATAGTATGTACAAATGTGTATGTATGTTTATATATATAATTTTATGCTTCTAGAATATAATTAATTATTTATATATGTAAATGTATATATATATATATTTGTAGGTACTTTATGTGTATATAAATGTGTAAATATGTATAGGAATGTATATATGTATATATATTTATTTATATATATTTGTAGGTATATGTAAATATATATATGTTTCTTGGATCTATATCCTGTTGTTGTTGTTGCTGCTGTGGAGGCTCCAAGGCCTTGGACTTGGGGTCTTCACAATACTTGTGTTTTTATTTAAGCCCATTCTTTTTAGGTACACATTTTTCAAAGTGAGATATAATGGTACTATTCCAATGTAAGACACTTGCTTCAATATTATCAGTGTAACTTGACCAAGTAAATTTGGAGATCTCCTGATTCAAGTTTTTAAAATTAGCTGCCTCAAAGTTGAATCTAAAAATGGAACTAAGAGAAGAATTATCAGCCAGAAGTCTACTTCCAATTTTTAATATTATCTCTAAAGCAGGTTGAAACACATCATCTAGCAGCCAAGAGGAACGCTTCTAATAGCAGAAAATTTAGATGCATTATGCACCAACGCTAAATCTAAAATTTTACCAAAATGGTTAATTTGATTGAAGCACAAGTCAGACGGTTTTTCCAAAAATTCTATTGCACGGGATAGTTTACAAATTGGAGTAACTTTATCGTTAACGGGTTTCCATGATAAACATGGCAAATTGAAGTCACACAGAACAATCAAGGGATCGCATAATTTTACCACCGAGATAACATGTTATCTCTAAAGCAAAGTAATACACATCCTCTGGCAGAACAAGACGATCGCTTCTAATAACAGAAAATTTAGAAACATTATCCACAAACACCAAAACGAAAATTTTTCTAATATGGTTAGGAATTAAATTAATTTAATTGAGGTATAAATCGATTAGTTCTTTCAAAAACTCATTTACAGAGGATCGTGTATAAATTGGAGTAACTCTGTCGTTAACGGGTCTCCTTGAAACACATGGCAGTTTGCAGTCACCCTCTAATACCTCTATGCTGAAATTCGCGGACAAATGCTCCCGGAGGCCAGAATGTAGTATCAAGAAGTTGATTAAAGCATTCAATTGAAGTATCGATTTTGTAATTAAATTTTCTCGCTGTAGCGTAACCAGATTTTTGAAGTGATGTTAGACTTTATCGTACCTCTTTGCTGGTGATATCTTTGGCAAACCTAGAAATAAAAACAGATTTTTTTGGGGGAATAACAACCAGTTTTTGTTAAGGGGGGACCTGGTTTAGAACGCTGAAAATTGCATGATATTCGGCACAATGTTTTAGGTTGCCTTACGTATGAAATGTTTCAAGTACTTTGGAAATAGGTCGTAGATACACAAATCTTGCACTAAAAATTTACTTTCGCTTTATTTGATACTGTTAAGCAATAACAAATCGTATTTGTTTGTGGCACTTCTCGCTCTAGGAGTCTTGTCTGTGAACATGATAGCGATCGCAGTTTTCATCTGAAACGTACAATAAAAACGAATACTTTTATTGTATCTGAAGAAATTTTAAGATAATTTATTGAAAAAATGTTAATTCAATGTTAATTTGAATTTGATTTTTTGGTTCACATAGAAGCCTACACTATTAAGTATCACTTATGAAAATGCGACAATTACAACTTTTTTAATCGTGTGCACAAAACTGAAAAACACTGTTTTGAGAAAATCGCATTCAAAGTTCTCGCTCCCACTCATCAGTCTCATGAGAGCATTGTCTCTATATCTATATATCTAATCGGATGAGATAAGCTTCAAAAACTCGACCACGCCACATTGGGGCTCCGGAACGTTTAGTTGAGCGATAGTCTGCATTTTAGATGTTTAAGGCTTCTTTATATGGTGAGAGGGTGACGACGGAGTAGCATCACATTGAGGCTCTGGAACAATTATTTCTGCTCTTTAGTTGTTGAAGGCTTCTCTATATTGAGAAAATATGGCGACAGATTTATTAAATCAATAATAGATGGATGCGGTGGAATTTTTTTTGAGAGCAATGATTTGAGTCAATATCGTCGGACGGACACATAACTCTTTTACGTTAAGAAGTACGCTTAGCATCGTACTTCAGTTGATCTACAGTCACATTTTTGATGAGTCAGCCCATCACAAAACCAACAAGGGACAAAGCGCTCTGACATCATATTGCTTGTTGGAATATAAAACAATAAAACAAGACTATTTCATTGTTGCTGCACATCTGCCAGATATGATAATACTTGATGTCAATATGCTTACTTCTTGCATGATAATTTTGGCTCTTCACTAGGCTCTGCGAGCTTAGATTATTGTTGCTTAGTACCATTGGCCCGCTTTTCTCGAAACCCCTTTCTTTCAGAAGCTTTTTAATATATTACTCTCTCTGTACTGCTCAATACCACGATGCTCTGTTTCTTGGGTTCCAAAAAGAATACACATCTAGCTGCCACAAAAGAAATGAGAGATTGTCGGTCTCTCGGGTCAATACCCCAATCAGCATCTGCAAAGCTCTCAACATCTTTACCCTTTTTCACGTAGCTGTCTTAATACCGTAGTTCACTCTTGCTTCGTGTCCTATTTGCGGATCAGTATTACGATGTGATAGCTTACAGACCGAATATACGAAATTGCCAAATACCTTAAAGCACCTACTATAGACTGGTACATTACTTTATCGACCTTGTTGTATTCTTCGCTGCTGCAATGCACATTAAGCCCAGTATCTAATGGAGTTGCGGCGTATCAGCAAACTTCCATGTTGACATGTTTAAATAGCTTTACTGCTTCAGATTTAAGGTAACACTACGAGTTTCGCCGTCATGTTCGATCTGCATAACTAGAAAATGCGTTAACTGTCTACCATCGACTACTTTGAATTTACTTGCTATGCCAGTTTTTATGTCGATTAGTTCTGATTTACTGGAACTCGCGATAATGGAATCGTCCTAGTTCCCTGCTAACAAGTTCGTCACACTTTTCGAACTTCTCGTATATTTATATGCACGGCTCGATGGGACATGGCTTAAATCCCAGTTGCTTAAGAACAAAGTCTAATTTCTTTTCAATATACTATCTGAGTACTTTCTAACTTCGACATGTACTCAATTGGCAATGCGATGACCATACCAATATTGGCATATCTGACTGGTGAGAAAATGTGTCGAAATAGTTTTACGTCACTTAATTGTGAATACCCAATTGCAACCAACCACTTTTTGAACATGTGGTAAGCGAACAAGTGTTCATGTTTTATTTTGAACGAGTGCTGAATACTTCTTCTCTAGCGCGCCTTTCCATTCGCCACAATGATTGCTTCTGAACCCCTCTTCAACACTATTCGGAGCTTATAGGAAACCTCCACATATTACATTTAGCTCGTAGAATTGATTTCGTGGGCTTCCATTTCGCCTTATTAAGGAATTCTATCTGTTGCACTTACGGATAGTCACAAAATTTGCGTGAGCGCCTCACATAAAACAAATAAATCGGAGATCAGCTGTGAAACCAACATTTAGATCAGTTGGCAAAGAAGCTAGGCCAACGAGATCAGGAAAAGTACATAAGGAAAGTTATTTAAACGAATATATGCTGAATAAGGAACGAGAATCAGGCAACAAAAGTTTTTGCACGCACTGGAGAGGACTTCGAATATCCAGCCAACAACAACGCAACAGCCTGTCCAAATATCTGGCTAAATTAGTTATTTAATTATTATTTATTTATTTATTTTTTTCGGATTTTAGTAACGTGTTATCATATGTCTAAAGCTAGTGTTAGTTTTACCTATAATTTTCACTCCGAATTTCATTGAATTCATATTTCTATTGCTTTTCCTACGAATATGCTAAATTCGGTTATTCGTTTTTTTTTGTTTCAATGCTTTACGTTTTCAAATCCTATCTTCGCTTTTTTTCCTCAGGGAAGGTTCGACGTCGAAAAGCTGCAATCACAACAGACTGCCGAGCGATTTTCTACACGGCCTGCACACCTGATTTCTGAGAGCACTCATCAGCACCTTGTAACGAACCCGGTTCTCCGGTTTGTAGCTGGGCTATCTCTCAGCCGGGTTATGGGTCTCTCCTATAATTTTGATTTCCAAAAGCGCAAGAAATGGACAACATGAATAGTTCTACGGTACCAAGGTAGCTTTATTTTTAATTGTTCTACTGGCAGCGTTTTCACGTCAGCCGTATATCTTAAATCGTATCGTACTGCCAGCGTTTGCACGTCAGCCGTATATCTCTATTGGCAGCGTTTTCACGTCAGCCGTATACTTCTATCTACTCCTATTGGCAGCGTTTGCACGACACACCATATATTCTATCTACGACAGCACAAACACGAGTGTCGTATCACTGCTGATGCTGCTCCTTTTATTAATTAGCCTTAATTAGATTACAGGTGGACAGTTATGTACTGCCTTTTGTTGGCAGGCCTATAGCCTGTTCTTCTTTGGCCTACTTAACAGCGATGGTGCGCTACGCTAGTGCCTAGCTTAAATGTTTAGTACTTATTTATATTATGTACATATGAATATAGATATGTAGGTATATATATATATATATGCTATAGCACAGTTAGGGAATGAACAAGATATAGTTGAAGCAATAATATAAAAAGAATAAATAAAAGTAATAATAATTAATTTTAGGTTTAAGTACTAAAATTTTAGAATTATTAAATAAATAAATAAACAAATATTCAAAATTAAAAGCAAAAAAATATTACAGACAAAATGAAAAACAAATAGTTTTAACGCTCAAGAAAATTTAAGCATAAGTTAGCAGTTTCAAATGCACTGATTTCGACACATAAAAAACAAAACGCAACAGCTGAGTTACCTAGATTAATATTGTTACGATTTTAGTAAATCAACCTCGATTATTTGTTAATCCTTCGGGAACGATCTCTGGATTGTTAAATAAAAACTCGCCAACTTAATTTTCAGTATCTTTCGTTATAAAGATTTTATCTAATATCCTTTATTTACTCCGTAATTCACAATTCAATTACAATGCACTTTTCTATTTACAATCACTAACATCAACCTTCACAATTTACTCTACTTAAATGTAATCTCCAACGCGTTTACTTTACGACTTTACTGATGTTTACGCCAACCAGTTCTCTTTGTAACTAACTTCTTGCAGCTGAGTGTCGCCTTTATATAGCAGTCGGCTGCTCGCAGACGAAAGCGTAGAAGCATCGAATTGTTCGCTATGGAAGGTTCTTGTTTTATCGTTTCTAGAATGTACTAGTTATCGGCTTTTCTCTTTCATCTGACATTCGCCTCGTATTTTCGCAACAATATTAACGAAAGCTTAAAAAAAATCAAATGGAAATGTACACAACAACAAAAATAATAAATGCAATGAATCGGAAAAACAAAATATCAAAACTTAGTCTAAGAAACAGGAAGAAAGTGGTCCACCTTGAAAGGCTGGCTGAGTTTGGAACAGCGAATGTGTGTGATCGGGACGATCAGACTTAGGTGGAGGGCAGTGTTGCGAAAATGCGAGGCGAACGTCAGATGAAAGAGAGAAGCCGGTAACTAGTACCTTCTAGAACGATAAAACAAGAACCTTCGATAGCGAACAACTCGATGATTCTACGCTTTCGTCTGCGAGCAGCCGACTGCTATATAAGAGCGACACTCAGCTGCCAAGTCAAGTCAGTTACAAAGTGAACTCGTTGTCGAGAACATCAGTATAGAGTCGAAAAGTAAACGCGTTGGAAATTACACTTAAGTAAAGTAAATTGTGAAAGTTTATGCAAGTGATTGTAGCTAGTAAAGTACATTGCAATTGAATTGTGAATTACTGAGTAAATAAAGGACATTAGATAAATTCCTTATAACGAAAGAAACTGCAGAGATCGTACCAGAAGGATTCAGAAAATCATTGAGGTCGATTTAGCAGAATCGTAACAATATTATTCAATATCAAAAATATACAAATAAACTGAGACACCATAATTTCACAAAATACTTTCCCAAAACAGAAAATTTCCTGTAACTGTGCCCGCCTTTTCTCAACTCCCATCGTTTTTTTTTTTTTGCATTGCATGTACAGAACACCTAAACAAGGACGAAGTGATGGAAGTGACGATGCGCATAGGCGATGTTCAGCAAAAGCCCGATAATATTATTATTGGTACTGATTTGATGGCTTTTGTTATTTATGCTGATATTGATGTGGGAGATGGGAATGTTATGAAAGCTCGATTGGTGACTACCCTGCAAGAAGATTTCCTATCTTTTGACATACCAAGTCAGCTCGTAGAACGATTTTCCCATCACTTTCTTTAGACCGAAACGACAAATGTACATACATATAAATTATTAAGATTCAGTCTTTATTCTAATATTTTACTTTGACCATGTACGTGGTTTATAAAGCATACGTAATATTTTTAGATCTGCTGATGCAGCATGCTAAGAAGCATCCACTCCAGACAGCCAGCTCCATTAGCTGAATTTCTCGTACAACAAATGAAGAAACTGTAAATAGCAATCAAAAATTAAGTAGTTAATAAATCAACTATATATTACTACCACAGCTTGTTCAGGATCTTTATCCACATTTTTCTCTTCTATTTGTGAAGGAAAAAATGAATAAAATGACTGCATTCTACTTCAGTTTGTACTCAGAAGAGAAAGATGGCAAAAAAAACGTATGTGGTATTAACGAATTTCTGATTATTAAAAATAAAATGACTTTGGCAGTGATAGCACATTTGATGATAGAAGGATTTGGTGAAAAATTCCAGGAAATAAAGCGCAAAATTGTAAGGGATAAGAAAAGTCCGCTGGAGCTGCCAGAGTCGATGTTAGTGCAATTTGTATTCTACTTTTACATTTGCTGATACAAAAATTGTTTATATGTAGCTTGATGGGCCAATATCGTCTTAACAAATAAACTTTTATAATACTGTTGGATGTCTTCGAAGACCAGTGAGATAGGCTATCTATTTCACATATGCTCCAACTTGCAGCCACACTGCGGCCTGAAATATTTCCTTAGCGCGACTTACAGTCTTTACGGTTATAACAGTAATGCTAAAGGCTTTTGACCGTTTGAATTGCCCACGTTAGATAATTTTTGGAATGAGCACCATCTCTTACTAAGAAGTTCGTCCTTAATAACTTGAAACATAAATATATTTCCGTATACGACACACATACACACGTACATATACGCATATACTTTTCTTGGCGAGCAGCATATATAGTTATGTACCAGTTAATGTAACGAAATTATTATTTTTCAAATCAGAACTTTATTTGTTCAATTCTCGCTTAAGGTGCATAATATAGCAAGCAAGCGTTTTTGTCACGTCCGGTAACTCGATTCCCGCTGCAAGGTTCCCACAACGTGTTGGGAAATGCTTAGTAATCAAATTCTACCAACGTGGTTACTTAACTCATCCCTTATTCAAAACAATCGTCCCGATTGTCAAACTCAAAATAATGGAAGGTCATTGACACTTCTAAGGTATTCCAAAAGAACTATTTAAAGATTTTTCCTTGAGTCATATTCAATAATATGGCGGGTTCTGCCGTCGCTGCTTTTTTTGGAGTGTTGTGTACTAAGTAGGGATTCGTTGTCACTAATATGGCTTAAAACTTGCCTGGACAGTGCGTCAACAACTAAATTTTGCGTTCCTTGCTTGTAAATGATTTTTGGCGCAAACTCTTTAATAAAAGTATTCCTTAATATTTTCAGAGACCACACAATAGCATTTGTTTGTGCTTTGTAGAGTTAAGAGTTTTGGAAGTAAATGTAATGGACTTTCCGTTTTAGCTCAATACGCCGCCTATTGCTACATTTGATGCATAAGTTGTAACGGTAAATTTTGCATGAAAATCTGGCTGAGCCAATTGATCCATTATTAAAGTTTTGAGCTTCTTGAAAGCCTGATAGCCTCGTACTTAAAATAATTTGGTTTTTTTGACATATTCTAAAATAACCTGCCATTCTCCTCTGCTTAATATCCTGTTAGTAAGTATGCAACAAACGCGTAATCGTTTAAAAATTACTTTTACAGGCCTATTTTCACTGTCACTGGTAAAGTAAATTTTGTTACTTTTTTTTAACACCCGAAATTGAATTTGGTATTCTGGCGAACTGGTTACAATGTTTGAAAAAAATTTGGCGGCACTGCTTTTTTCGTCCATGTCAAATTACATTTGCCAGTTGAAAAAGTAAAAAGAAAAATATTCACATCGAAATGGAAGACAGTGCACAAAAAAATTAATAAGTTTTATTAATTTGTTTATTAAATCATAAATATTTGAACCTAATTATGGAAAATATGCCTGGACAACAGAAAAAGCTGAACGAAAACGTTATCTTACAAATTGAAGGGCTATTTTTTGTCTCGAAAACTTCTTAAAATACGGCTTTTTGCACTTTTTTCTTCATCTTCAATGAATTCTAGGCCTAAAATATGCCTACCCGTTTCGGTTGTTACCCCCTATTTCGCTGGTAACAAATTTTACAGGGTAACAGTGAGCTCAGAATACGAAATGGTAACAAAATATACTGAATGGTAAATTTTAATACCTAGGTAAATTTTGTAACCTCGACAGAATAGGACTGTTAGTATCCTGCTAATCCTAAAAAACTTTTTAGTTGCCTTAAAGTTGTGGGCAAAGGATATGCTTGAATCGTTTAAATTTTTTTGGGTCAGTTTTAGTAGCCTTATAACCTACTCTATAACCTAAAAAATCAACTTCGAGTTCATAAAATCGTGATTTTTCAAGGGAAAATGGGTTTCTTTTAAGGTCTTTATAAACTCCATGAGATGAGCAGTGTGTTCCTCTAATGAAAGGGAAAACACAATGATATCAACTATGTAAACATAACAAAATTTCGTAATAATGTTTCAAAGAATAATATCCATAGCTCCTTAAAAAATGTGATGAAAGCCGGACTCCAAATCGATAGTCGAGAAATTTTTAGAAATTCCCAAATTGGGTATGATGGCATTGCAATCAGGTATTGGATAATTTAGTGCATCAGTATGTCCATTTCATTTTTTTGTAGTCGTGGACCATTCTAAGTTTCTGTGATCCATCCTTTTTGGTACCCTCTTTGGAGAACAACCCAAATGGGTGAATTGTAGGAGCTTTTACTTGGTCTAATGACCCCATCATTTAATAATCGTTGCATTTCATTATTTACAAATAAATTGACGGATGTGGAATACGCGTATTGCTTGCTGCATATGAGTTTCAGCAGTAGTACGAATTTCAGCCCTTGCTTGTTCATAAATATTCAATTGGTTTGAGGTCACCCTTAGGATTAATAACTTTTAAAATTTTTCATTTTCAACGTAACTTTCCGCATTGTTTTTGAAATCATCAAAATTTAAGAACGTTTGAAAATGCTGTCCACACTGAAGAGTTCTTTTACAAAATCTAATATTACTCTCGCAAATTGAAAAAAATTAACACCCAATAAAATATTGACTTCGATATTTTCAATGACGTGGAGTCTCATTTTTATGTTAAAAAATTATTGCTTTGCAATACTCTTTTATTATTGCAAACTCATTTACCGTCCGCATCTTTTTCCATATAACTAAATTTTTTGTATTTCTTAAATATTTTTACTGCAGTACGAACAAGTGGCACCACTATCAAACAATATGCTATAGTTCCTTCCGGTTGACTCTTGCTTGATAAAGTAGGACAATCCTGTCTTACTTCTAAAAAATCTTCCTCGTTTAAATTATTTATGCGTTGAGTTTTGTTTTGGGGCTGATATGTAGCTCGACCAGTTCAGAGCTAGCGTTTAAAACCTTGTAGATAGTAATTGGACTGCCCTTGGTAGAACGTTTGGCCATGACTCTGACTGAAGCTTAGCCGGTAAGGTTTTGC